TGGTATCGAAGGACCTAGATTCTGTTCCGAAATATCACTTACTCGAACCGTCCTGACCGCGTAGCTCAGTTGGAAGAGCATTGGGCTAGTATTCCAAAGGTCGTAGGTTCTAATCCCACCGTGGCCGGGCATATTTTTCAAGCTCGCCCGGTATGGATATACACTCAGAGTAACACCACAAATATCATATTCACCTGAGTACACTACACCAACACAGAAAAAAATTAATATTTACGATGTTATCTTTTCATTTTTGTTTTGTTTTGTTAAAGGATATACCGGAAATTCTTCTTGATATCAGAACTGCGCCAAAGAGAGAAAAGGTGTACGCTGATCACGGTACTGGCGCAAAAAAGGGAATATGTGTTTTCCAGGCTACATTGGACGAAATTCCTGATGGCTACTATTTTATTGGGCAGGTCGCAGTTGGACAAACCGAGTCAGTAGATGTACCCAAATCTTCCGTAATTTTGGTAAAGCCGTTGCTTGCCAACCTTATAAAGCCACCACTATATTACGAATCCAAATGGAATGATAAGGATTCTGGAGGAAAGATAGATTGTTCATTTTGGAGAGTCGTTGCTCCCGAGGGCTACGTAGCACTGGGGGATGTTGTTACCAACAACTACTCGGAGCCGACTAGTAAATTCACTGCCAAATTTGCCTGCATTAGAAAAGATTTGTTGGTCCCAGGAAAGTTCACCAACCTATGGGATGATCGTGGTTCCGGCGCAAAACTGGATGGATCTGCTTGGCACGTTGATGGTGCTGGTCTTGCAGGATTGTTTAAAGTTCAGAGTGGCTACCAGGAACCAGCTATGCCAGCTTTTGTACTCCCTGCCAAGCTAGTTCAAGCGAAATGAGGCTTTTGTGACATTCATTCTAAATTCATATAGAAACGTTTCTTTACAATTTCAACCTGGATGTAAATGTAATGGCAATTTGCTACAATGTTTTTGTTCGAAATGCTTAAATAAAGTATTTCTCTAAGTGATTAATAAACGTTACAGAGTTATTGCATTAATATCATTTTAGTCAGTTTACTCGATTTGTGATTGGTTATAAAATGTGCCCATTAAGCGTATATCGATCTTATGTAAATCGTGATGTTATAAATATTTCGCCGAACACCCGTGCGATTTCTATCCTAAGGCGCATTCCACTCCGAAAATTTGATTGGACTACACAAATTTTCCGTAGGGAAAAAAATTGAAGTTGAAAAATTTGAACTTTAAAAATACTATTGTCGGCAATTTCCCTTCGCGGAAATTTTTCTAGAGTGGAAATGGGTCGAATACGCTCATCTAATGTTAATGCTGAATGATTTGTCACTGTTCGTGTTACAAACGTACTCTTTTTGAACCATTTCATTTCCAATAATCTGTACCATATTAAAATATGGCTGGAGCCCATATATCCCTCACTTTGATAACAGTTTTCGAAACCTAGAACGCGAACAGGCTCTCTTTCAACTCTCTGTGAAATTTGAGAGAGAGCCTGCAGATCTGGCTAATAAAAACACGTCTGTGCGTTGCTTAGAATGACGCAGGGTTTTCATTGGTTAGAATTGAATTAACTACATTATCATGCTATAAAAGCTAATGAAATTTATGCAACAATAGATTCAAGGTGTCAACACAAAGTGCGGTAATCGAAAAATATCGCTCTATAGCTGCGATAAAAAATGTATTAGATGAGTGGTATAGAAAACGAAATCTATGTTTAAAGTGAAAGGATTTGCAGTCAAAATTAGCTCTTACCAATATTCTAGACGGAAACGATCTTTTTGCTGTATAAGAGAGTTTGGCAAATACAACGGCAACGGTTATATATCAACAATAGCATCTTTACTCTAAGACAAAGGTGACTATAATTTACATTCTTGAGCATTCTAATACGCCGTGCTTTTAAAAGTTTAGTAATGTATGTTTTCGGTCAAATACAAAAGTATAAGTAACTTTGTTTCTGCCGTCGCCTTTGTTGGTTGCCAAACTCACTAATGACACTATAGCATTACCGACAGGCTAGATACAGGGTGTATAAAAAAAAGCGCAATCCTCGACTGAAATGTAAATTGCTAAACAAATAATAGACGAAAACGTTAAAGTTTACATTCATTTTAAAGCGTAGCCATTCAGCTTTCTAACAGTGGGTTGTTTCTTAAATTTGACTCATTGGTTCGCGGGTAATAATACTTTACGCTATTGCGATTGGAGATTAAAAAAATTGAGTTGGAATAACAAATCGTTCTCATGAAAATAACTGATTTTTTCATTAAAACAAAAAAATGTTGCATTTTACTTTTCTTCCACTATTTTTAACTCAGTTTGAAACTTCAAATGCGATATAATTTTGGCTTGGACCATCTAAGCTGACTGACATCAACTTGCTAGAATATCTGTTTACATTACATCGCAATTCGATGACACTCTGGCTCAGACACCAGAAAGTTTTGACGATTTTTAGCATTCGTTTAGGATTTTCAAACAACCTGGTCTCTTTCAAAATACTTTTAATTTGTTCTTACGTGGTTTTCCAGATGTAGTGACGACAACATTAAAGTTTAAAGAAGAAAATTCTAACATTTAAACAGACTAAACAATAACATAGTAAACTTGCATAATTAAACAGCAACTAAAAATGATAGGTTTTACTAAATCTTTTCCTGTGCAATTATTACTAGCATTGGAGACAAGGATAATAGTTTGTTTGAAAGAGAATAGAATAGGCTTTGAAGTAAGCCTAAAAGCGTTTAACTAGAAATAGTATTTCGAAAGTTATTAAGCACAAAAGATGAATTGCGTTTATTTTGATACACCCTGTATATACGGCAAAAATTTAATATTCCAACTTTCGGCCCTTGTCGAGGAGAGAAAAAGAAAAGAAGTGAACCCGCTATAGCCATCATCATTATTATGTGAAATGTGAATATAAATCTCTCCCCTTGACAAGTAAAATCACCTAGGCATTAACTCTGCCTAGGGTTACTGGCCGGGTTAGACAGAGCAAAATTAGTGGTGTTTACACTACAAGCCTTGACCTAGCCTTGGCCAGGCCAAGGTAAATGTGGCACATTACACTATTTTGTTGAGACAGGCTCACTTTGGCCAAGAATTTTGTTATTAAATTTGTGTATTTTTATGTGTTGTGATGTTGTCCGGTGGTTGTCCCCTAATCTCTTACTGTGGACACACGTTGCAATGAACATAAGGCCCCGGCCAGGGCCGAAAGTGTTTACATTTCCACTAGGCCAGGTCTGTTGTAGTGAGCCAGATTTCCTGGCCTAGGTCAGGACAAGGCTTGGCCAAAATCTGTTTACACTGTCAAGATGTTGGCCAAGACTGGTAGTGTAAACATGATTATTGAATGCATCAGGGTGCATTACGACTAAATGGTTAGTGTTTCCCACGATATGGTAAAAAAGTATAAACTTTTGCTAGTTTGAGCTTGAAGAAATTTCAAGCTAAACCCTTCTAGAGTTTACCCTGTATATATGTGCCTATTTATATGATAATGGCATGACTGGACAGTAGGTTTTAATCCAGGATGGTGTGTTTAATATAGACGGAATACACCCCACATGGCAAGGATGATAGAGTACTTATATGAGAGTTTCTTGTCCTCGCAGGTGGGACCCTGTCTAGGCCAGATAGAAGTAGAATAATTTAGTTTAATTAATAATAAACAGTTGATAGAGTTCATATTGCATGCTGGATCATGCCGGCGGTATCATAATAATTACAAAGTGGCTACAGTATGATGCTTGTGATGTTACTCTGAGTGTATATCCATACCGGGCAAGCTTGAAAAATATGCTTGACCACGGTGGGAATCGAACATACAACCTTTGGAATACTAGCCCAATGCTTTGCCAACTGAGCTACGCTGTCAGATCGGTTCGAGTATGTGATATTTCGGAACAGAATCTAGTTCCTTCGATATCAATGTAATCGAAGGAACTAGAAAAATCATTACTGATTATTAGATTACATTGATATCGGAGGAACTAGATTCTGTTCCGAAATGTCACATAATCGAATCGATCTGACCGCGTAGCTCAGTTGGCAGAGCATTGGGCTAGTATTTCAAAAGTTGTAGGTTCGATTCCCACCTTGGTCAGGCATATTTTTTAATTAAGTTTGCCCGGTGTGGATATACACTCAGTGTAACATCACAAGCATCATAATTATTCCTGAGTACATTACACCAACACAGAAAAATCATTACTGGCTACAGTATATCTACAGGTCCTAAATCAGACTTTGCCGGGCTATATTTACAGGCTTACAGCACTCTTATGTACTAAACAGCACAGACTATAAAATTGATTGTTTATGAAGGATTTCAGCAAGCTCAAAAATAGATCACACGGTTAGGCAGATGGCTGCTGTGCTGTAGTCTGTAGTTTGAACCCGAGCTGCGACAGGTTTTTGTTCACTTTAACTAAACATGCCTTTTTTTCTGATTAGTTTTATTTCTTAGGGCTAGAGGTTAGGTACAGTTTTGTCTGAAATTGACTTTAACTATAAATACAACCTGTGTGGAGACTTAGAATGAGAGTGCCATAAATATAGCCTGGCGAAGTTTGTTTGCGGGCCTGAAGATATAGCCACTTTGTAATAATTATTTTAAAAAGCAATCTAATTATACTTAAATGGATCAAATGATTGGGTACTGTAATTACTGCAGACAAAATATTGGTGGTGCTGTTGAGATCTCTGTTAACAAATCCTATCTAGTGCATATTTCTCTTGTTAGCCCATTCACTGGCAATATGCTCTACTTTATATTACGCTGTGTAATGCCAGCAAATTTTACAGTTTTACTTGTTGAGAAGATAGCCTTGCAGCAGTTTCCAATTTGCCATGTATCACCCACTCAGTGAATACAATACTGGGGACGAGTCAGGGTAAAAGCCATATGAACTAAGGGTTATCAATTATGATAATACTAGAACCAACTTCAACCAAAGGTTGGGTTGTGCTACTATATTAGGTTTTCCCATTCGTCATAATGTGCAAAGTTTATAGGTTGGACAGGAGGGAATTGCTCATATTGCTGCATGTGAACTGTGAACTTGTGCTATATACTGTAATGTTAACTGACTGTGGAGTTCCATTACCGGTACATGAAATACAGTATGTAGAGTTAATGATAGTCTTGTATTTCCTCTCTTATAGCTCATGTGACTAAACGTTTTGTGGGAGCAACAGCTTCATCAGTGAAAAATCACATGTTCCAAATTCACATGTGAAATTTCACACATGTGAAGTCATGTGGAATTTTTGTAAGGGTATTTCTTTCTGGTGATATACATCAAGGGATTTATATTTAGATCTGTTGTTTACTTGTATGTTCGATAACTATTATACAAAATCGGCCAGGCGCTAACCAGAACGCTCATATCCCACTCCCCTTTGCGCGCCTATAATGTGATGCACTACTTCATGTAAACCTTCATATAGTGACTCGCATGAAATTTTTTATTAGCGCCTGGGGACGAGGCAGGGAAAACACCAGAATTTGTGGTGTTCCGGTTTGGCTTGTCCCAGGGCTTACGGCAACGCGGGCAGCCGAGATGCCCTGAGAACGAGGACGTCACACTCCTTGTATTGTTTTGAACTCGAACGCCAATTTTGCCTTCCCTTCCCCCATAAGTCCCGATTGTTATCTCCCAAAATCTGAGAGACACGTGACCAGCCTGGACTAGAGTCTTTCCTACAGCGAGGCACGTAGTGGAAAGAGCCTGGGTACGAGGTTGGGCAAAATGCAGCTTGCCTACGCAACTAGATGGACTGCTGGAAATAGAAAAAATGTAAAAACACAACAAGTATAAATGTGTGGTATTTCTCTTTACTTACTTACGAGCAAGTGTGTTGAGTTAATC